AGTATGGCGCTCGACGATATTTGAGCGAAAAACGAGGTCAACACTTCAAAATAACAAGATCAAGGCTATAAATAGCCTCATACAATGACTTAAAGCAAAAAGGACTCAAATACCCCCTGAATGGGCTACAAGACTCAATCCCTCAAGCAAGGGTAAAAACGGAAAATGCTGAAATAAAAAGATTACATCAATTAGTAGATAATAATAAAATCAAAAGTATATCGGGTAAATCGTGGCCGTTGATTTACGGCCACATTGATGATAGACTTTCCAACTGATGTCCCCATCAAGGAGTCAAATTATTCATATAACTGTAACATTTTCATATGGGTGGTTATATAAACTGTGTTGTTTTTTAAAACAATGATTGGCATTTTGGACTAGTATGTGGTCTTCATGTTTAAGGTATTGGGACAGGATCAAATTCTAAAGACTTTTGAACCAAATTAAAGCTATAGGAACTTGAAGCAAACTTAGGATTGTATTAAAGAGCTATTTTTCTTTGTAGGACTTGAGAGGTTTCGGTTTATCAGTTGGTCACCGCTCAAGTTTTAGTTCAAATGATGCAGATCACCAGTTTGGGCTTGTTGAGCCTGCATATTCTTTTGTTGGGATGCATTGCATCTTTGACAACTGCAAAGCTTCAGGTTATTTATGTTAAATGGAAAAAAAATCATTTTTATATACTTCTTTTTATATGATTTCTTTTCAATGATAAAACGAGTTTCCGAAGGACATTAATTAATTGAATGGTTTTTTCCAGTTACCATCTTAAAATTTGGGCATATGAGTTCTGATTTACTTGCATATGGTGCCACTGATGGAAGTCTTACTGTTTGTCACGTATCGGAATCTCCTTCAGTAATTCAGCACCTAAAAGGACATTCAAAAGCTATTACCGGTTTGACTCAGCTACATCAGTTTTCTACTTTTTTTCCTTAATGAAACATTATTTATAGAGTTTCTTGAAATTTCCTTATTTTTAATTTCCCTGTTATATTGAAATGTTTATGCTACTAATGATTGTTTTGCGTTACTTGGGATCTAGACTTTCAAAGTTACATTGGGTGAATCTTTTGAAAATAGTAGATCTTCGAAAATATTAGATTCAGTAACAGAGGTTTATGTTTATTTAAGCCAAAGCTTGGTCTTATGAGTTATATGTGCTGCTTGTGCCTTTGTTTCTGAATATCAGCTGCTTGAAAAAGCTGGGATTCTAAATTGGCGAGCTACCTGTTTTTGCTTAGGATCTACTCTTTTGTAGGCTTTGGAGTTGTTTGGAATTTAATGTAATTCCAAAAAAAATTATAGTCTTTCTTTGTTTGCATTGTACTGAGAGCTGTTAGTGATGAGGTCATCGATGGGAGATTTCGGCGCGTCTATCAGAGACGACCACGGAGATCGACGACCACGATTGCGAGCCTTTATTATTGATTTTACTTGTACCATCAGTTTTTTTATATTATGCTTTTATTTTCGTAGTTTCCCATTTTACCCCTGAGGGTCAGTTAGAAAATACTCTCTTTTGTTAAGGGGTGGGTGGTTATGTTTTTACATCCGAATAAATGAAGATATTTGTGTAATATGTTGCATATAGGTCAATTATGATAGATAGAAAATATATAGGGATGTAAAGGGTAATAAATCCTTATTTGTTTTTTCTTTGTTCCCATTGGATTCAGAAAATGTCATGGACTCATGCTTTTGAATTTCTTCCAAAGTCTGTTCATTCATCATGAGAAATTATTTATGATCACCATAGTTTACCAGGTTCATTTCTACTTGCACAAACTTACTTTAAGCCTTGTAAAAATTCCTAATAAACATAAAATTAGCCTGATTAATTAAGGGTTGGTTTGGTCCGTTTGGATCCGTGGATGATATATGTGGTAAATACCCTTTTATGTTATTCTCCAGGGAAGATTGGATATATAGTGAATGGATTTTTACGAGAGTCCTGTTGAAGGAGTAACTTTTGGTGTTGATTTGGATACATGGTGACTATGAGGTTTTACACGAGAATGGGATGGGCATAGTGTTGTAATGGTGAACACCTATGCTATAAATTTGGAAGAACATTTAATTCCTGCCGTGTCATGTGTACACAAATATTGAGAGGAAAAAAAGAAATCTGCTGGCTATTATTGCAAGATAATTCTAGGGACTTGGTTACCTGCATGGCAGGGAAGCATAAAATTGGGTTTAAAATTACCATCATCCTATTATAAGAGTACAACATTGCTTTTCCCAGGATTTCAGATTTAAAAAAGAATTGTAGGGTGGTGGTCCTGGTGGATTGCGTTGTCAGTAAAGACTTTTTGATGCTTAAAAGAACAGGTTGGCTTTTTGGATTAATTATGATGGCCGTAGATATTATTTTTATTGATTTACCTTGAGTGAAATGAGTTGATAGTTTCATAGGGAAAAATATAGGGACTTGGAAAAACATTTTCGGCCAGGGCAGTGCCTTCTAGAAGCTACTATTTTGTTATTGTGTTCGTAACTTCGTATTCTATTTCATCTTTTTTATTTTTAATTTCCCTTGGGGTTTTTGAGGATTTGATTCCATCTAGACAGATTTATATTAGAGAATCTAATCAAATGCACTTTTTTTTCTAAAAGTTATTTATTTTGTGGTATTTGTAGTGTATTATATTTGGAATACACGCATTTTGATTTTTAGGGTGTTTTTTATGGAGTAAAGATAACAGAAAGTATTTTTTATCACTCCCAAAACTACTCGCGACCTAAACTCTCTTTCTCTCTTGCCAACAACCAGATGACTTGGGCCACCATTTTGACACTTGCGCTACCATTTTGACACTGCATGTCCATAACTTGAACATGGTGCACGGTCACCACCCCAACATCCCTTGTCAACCTTGAACATGCATCAACAACCCTGCACTCATCATCATTTTTAGCCCGATCCCTACGCCGCCAACCTTGACTAGGTGTCCACAACCATTTTTCGCGCCATCCCTGCCATGCTAATCAGCATCATCTCTGTTGTCCTTGGAATAAAATGAATATCTAATTTTGCAACCAACCAAACAGACAAAAAAAAGAGGATTTCATGAGTTTATTTTACAAATAACCTAAAGAAATCAATATACAATGCATTCAATTTACAGTGCATTTGAAATACTCAAGTATCCTAAATACTTGCTACAAAACAACTCCTTAATTACCTTCATTGTCTCAATAAGTGTGAACTGCATTTCAAAATAAATGGTGAATTGTGATGCATAGATTGGAATGTTCAAGAGATCCTCTCAATTATTGCAAGGAAATGCTGGAGATTAGCAATATATCAAGAGGTGTATCATATTTCATTAGTTTGGCATAAAATATTTTGCTTCTTTTCTAGGTATTTGCTAGGTAGTTAAGTTAGGCTTGAAGTAACTTTATGCCTAAGGAAAGCATCTGATGTATTACATGAATGATCATATATTAATTTTCTTCATGGATAAGAATGCGATTTGGTAGAAACAATAAGGCGTGAAGTTGTTGGAGTTGTTCGTCAATTCAAGGAGATATTGGAAGCTTCAAGAGGTCCATATAATTGTCAAGATGTCTACATAATTAAGACAGGAGAAGCTGGGGTGTTCAGCAAACCCCTTCTACATCAAGAATGTTTACTTATTTTATATCCTAGAAAAAATATACTTTTTTAGTAGGTATTTTTTAGGCTCGAAGCACATGGTGTTATTTCATTACTAATCAAACTTTATTTTTCATTATGAATATAAATCGCTATATCATGCCAAGGGAACCTTACCGGTGTGATTCCAGGCACTCTTTCCCTTCCTACCGCAAATTCTATTCTTCTCTTCATCATCCCTCAGCAAGTTGTTGGCTACCAGAACAAATTAGTATTCCTTGTTGTCAAATCTCCTTTGAGAGAATGGATACAAAACTGTTATACCATGATTATGTCTGAAAGCCTATACATATATGGAGTTATTATGAATTATTTTTATTCATCTATTCCTCCTCCAATGGAATCCAGAACTGAAAAAATGTTGTGAAATTAATGAAATCTTCTGCATTTTAGCTGAAAGTAAAATCAAATGTTCTTAAACTTCTTACTGTCCTCAAGCATTTTAACTGTCAATAGTAATTTTCAGTCTAGGAAAGTTGTTTGCTGACAGGAGAAGGTAGTGTTCCTTGTTTTGGAAGCTCCTTTGATGGTCTAATCAGACGAAGCAACCACATTATTAACATTTGAAGCTTTCATTCATCATTTTACTTATTTTATTGCAAAGTTATTGGATTTAAGCGCGTTAGTTTCAAAGTTTATATTGAAATTCTATGACTTCTGTGTTATATAACCCAATATTGTTATACTCCTGGTAGCATTAGCTTGTATTTTATGTAGGTATGATATGAATGACTAACTGGATTACAGATTTTGATTTTTCATCAAATAATCAGTACATTGCTTCATCCTCCGTGGACAAAACTGTCCTAGTCTGGGAGATTTCTAAAGGTCATTGTATTCGAGTCATATACGGGACATCTTCTCAACTATGCATCAGGTTTCACCCGGTAAGGAGCAGGATACAATTATATTGTTTTTGTCATTGCTGCAGTAAATTTCAATGTGTAGGGTTTGTGTTTAATCTTGATATTAAGATATCAATCTTCCATGGTTAAATATGGCTAACCAACAATATCCAATGGTAATTAGCTTTCAAATTCAAAGTTTCATGAATGGAACAGACCCATCCTGCAGTCTACCCAGTCATAATAGTAACGTTGATGGCCTTTGTGTTCCTGGATATCATCGAGGATATTTATTTGAAAGAAGAATCAATATTCCCTATTGTTTATAACATTCCACGCATTTTTCAAACCGGGTAGTGGCGTGGCATATTTGAAAGAGAAAATATAACGAGTATGAATTTCTGCACAAATAAAGTGTAGTTACCTTATGCCAAATCACTTGGACTAAATTTTAAATTAAGAGGAAGCACTTGCTACCCAGTTTGATATGATATTTGAATTTCCTAAAGCATGAATTGGTTGTGGTCATTTAATGGTTTAACTGGAATCATGAATAATAGTTGCATCATCTAAGTATGTGTTTCTTATCCGTTCTGGTTGTGAGAATATTGATATAATAGGTCCTTGCACGTGCTTATACTTAACAGAGAACTGAGATTGCTTATTATAAAACTAAGACGGCGAGGGAATTGTGTTATAAAGCGGAAATTGTGTATGGTGAATGTTGGTACTCAATGAGTTGAATTGTGCTGTTTGGCTGTGTAATTGTGGAATGAGAAGATGGAACTTTCTATGGAGGTTGAATCAAAGAGATTGTATCAGAATGATTCGGGAGAAGCAAAGAAATCTTTTGCCGCTTGCTCCTTTATCAGCCAGGGCTACTGTTTTTGCATAATTGGGCTAAGGTTAATGCGACCACAATGATAAGCCACTTTGTTTTTGTGAAAGCATTGTGAACCATATAAAATAAAACTGCTATGGTTGAAGTAATTTGTTGGATTGTGATGGCATTCGTTAATACTAAATCCCGTAAATAGACTTGTTGCAAAGATGGTAATGCAGAGAAGTTCCTGTATGATGGTGGTTTTTTTCATGAAAAGATTACAAATTTTATTTTCTAACTAGTATCTGTGGAAACAGATACACATTGAACTTTAACTGTGATATGTACTTTTTTTTAACCATAGCTCTGTATCTTCTTCAGTTTTTTAAAGAAACATCTATGAGTTCAATTCTCTTATGCTGACAAAATTGGATGGGCAAAATTTTGTTTGGAATTTAATATGATGTCATCTTTACTATAACTTGTTTTTTTATGTGGTTCACCCAGAGCTTGCTCTTTTTGTTTTCGCTTTTCAGGTAAATAACAACTTACTTTTTGTTGGCAATGCAAATAAGGAAATCAATGTAAGCATCTTATCCCACTCGGTTAAATTCCAAGAATACTTGATATTTCTTTACTGTCAAGTCACTTATTTTATTTTAGAATATGGTAGATTAACTCAATTATTTGTCTATAAATTTTGTTTTTATGATTCCTCAAGTTCCTTTGTATCTTTTATCTTTTTATTGATCAGTCTGTGCTGACCGTTTCATCACTCATGCGTCTTGCTTTTTCAGATGATCAATTTTAGCACTGGTCGAGTTACTAAAAAAGTTTACTTTGATAAGGAATTGACAGCTATGGACAATGATCATACCGGACAACTTATTTTCTGTGGAGATGCACAAGTATGCTTTCTTATCGACATGGGAGTTCAAGTTACTTGCTTAAGCTAATATATGCACAGAATGTTGCAAAATTTACAGGGATGCATATACACTGTCAGCGTCAACTCCCATACAGGATCCATATCCAGGTCACATAAAAATAGGAGTATGAGGAGCAAGTCTCCAATTACAACGGTGCAGTATCGTACATTTTCTTTGGTAGCTCGGTGCCCTGTGCTTCTTGTGTGTGCTCAAGATGGCAATCTTTGTTTCTTCAGGTTATTAGTCTTGGTGCATATCATAATTGATTCTTATTCGTGCATATCATATATGATTCTTATTGGTGCATATTACTAGTTACTAAACTGAATTTTGGTTCATGCAGTGTAGCCTTGGAGATACAAGGCTATCTGACTCTTTTATGCTCACTAAAGCTTTCTCCAAGGCGACATAGCATCCGCGCTTCGTTTTGCCCCCTTCTTTCCCTTGAGAAAGGGGAATTCATAGGTACGGATCATGACGCAATATGATTCTCATTATTTAATGAAATCTTAACTAATCCTTGTAATTATCATGAGATCTTTAATATGGGTTTATGTCCAGATTTGTAATTGGCTATTATCTAGTAAGCTCAAATTACTATAAATTTAATCTTGTGCGGAGTATGATATGTTTGAATGTCTTCCTTTGGATGAACTTGTCATCTTAATAGCAGCTTTATCCTGCATAGAATGTGACTAACCTAATTGATTCTATATAATATATATACTCACCTTGCTAAATTTGTCGCATCGCCCTGATGTTGTCATCTCCTTGTATGCTAACAAACACTTAACATTCTCAAAATCCTAATAGCAATGTGCTTGGTGAGCAAAACTTGTGCACGCTTTCCTTAGTGTCACAGAGGAAACTCGTAGGTGACAATCCTAACACTACAAGTAAGCCCTGTGCGTGCTTTTATTAGTATAGTGGGGAAATTCAAATTCAAGTACTTGTGCTTGCATGATTGGGAAATATTGTAAATTTCAAATATGTATGCGAAGGCCTGTGCATGCCTTTTTTGGCGTGGTAGGATAAAAGACCCCCTGTTGTAATGTCTCATAGCACTGATGATGCAAACTTTTTTTAAACATGGTCAAACTGCCTAGCACTCTTGAAGACACCCCGTATGCGGCGAAGAAACCAATAAGTTGCATAAATTCACAGTGAACCTGATTTGCATAGTATTCCAAAAAGAATAAAATAAAAGAACCCTCTTAACTATACATGCATCAAAATTGATAAAACAAACAAAATAAACGACTATAGGGGGTGAAAATAAAAAATGATTAAAAGTATATAACTACAACTAAACAAAAACTGAACCTACAAGGAACTCTTGGAGCTGCTCTCTGTGGGGCCTTCTTGAGTAAAATGCAAGTCATATAAAGATAAATCACATCATTTTTAAAGCACGCAAAGGATTCTAGCTTGTGACATTTGCTATCGAATCTTCTACGCACACAAGTGACAAAGTGTGACCAGCAATGAATACAAAATGTAAAGTCACATGCACGTTCTAAAAGGTAATGCATTTACGCGAATATCTATTAGTTTAGACCCCTACATATCTATGCATCCATTTGACAGTCTGTGGATTAAAAAAATGTTGAATGCAAATTCACTCCACCTTGAGAGTCATGCAATTATTTTTATGTTAAAATTTGCAAACCTTTTCTTTCAAAAAATTAGATTCACCGACATAACTACATGATACTCTTAAGCAGACTATTCTACTTATAGGGTAAAATCATAAGTCTCATATTTTAAGTCCGATAATCTTTCTTGCAAGGATTGGAGTTGACGATATTTGAACTTTGTTAGAGATGCCCAAACAGTAGGTTTTAAATAGTTCATCATACATTCTATTCTCGTGAATGAACATATAACTTCAAAATTCACGAATTTATTGTCTTATGGTCACATTAGAGCTTCAATGCCTTTATGACAAAAGTCATTGCAAAAAATACAAACTCTTAGGTTCATCGCAATTCCCTATCAGTTTATTGGAAAAATCCAACCACCCAAGTGATGGTTTATAGAGTGTTGGAATCAATTTTTGGGGAATCTTGGAGACTCCACTATCACCACTAATCCATTGGAATAAATTTTTCTGTTGCAATAGTTCGTTAGATAATCCCTTGAAATTTGTTAGGCCAGTTCAGGCTGAACTGACCTAGCCGGCCCAAGGGCCGGCTCAACTGTACAGGAGGAGTCGCCCGCCCCTAGTGAGGGCCCCACTTGTCCAAATCAAATTCAAATTGAAAAGGAGGGGCCGACTAGGGCTTGGGAAGGAAATTAGATTATGAAATCTTTTGTATTAAAGAGCATGAGAGGATTAGGGGGAGATTATGTTTTGATTGATTGGAATTAGGATTTCTTGGGGACTTGGGCTCTAGACTCTCTTTTCTAGAGATTTGGGAGAGACAATCCTCCTCTCAAATTGAGGTTCAAGTGTATCTTGCTTGGAGTTTTGTTTTGCTTTGTTTCCACTACCGCAATCTATCTTTTCTAGATTGATTTGTTCAGTTTTTCTTGTTTTTCTCGCGGTTCTGAACCAATTATTGCTAGGGTTGCTTGCGAACTCAAGTAAATTCGATAGGATTACTTGCGAACTCAAGTATTTCCTATCAAAATTGTAATGTTAGGGCCAAGATAGATGAGGAGAAAGGATAGAAGCTTTGGTGATTGATTGTGGCCAAAACTTGAACTCTGCTACTATCTTCTCCCCTTCCCATCTCTCCAAACTTTAGAAATTAACCCCAAAGTAGGGTACTGTTTCCCCCAAACTCAGTATAACTCGAAACTAACTCTTCCAAAAACCTCCCTTTCACAGTAAAAGGCTTTATAGGCAAATCACCTATTAACAGTTGGGGCCCTAATTACTAAGCTACCTTATATAAGGGAATAAGCAAAAAAAGACTTATAAGCAATTTTATCAATAAACAAGATCTTCACCTCTCAACCAATTGATGATTTATTAGTCACTAATAGAAGAAATAAAAGCTGATAGAGGTGGCCAATCGAACCTTTATAGTACTAAATGAAGGCTAATTAAGAAAATAGTTTAATCATTATTTCTCTATTACTTAATTTTTAAAATAGTATTGATGACCATGCTCTTTTTTTTTCCCTTTTGGTTGCCATGATTTGAGGGTATTTTGATATGGAAGAAATTCATGTTCTCCTTAAACTTTTATTCCCATATGCTTCGTTTTCCTAGCACTTTTATATGATTGACTAATTTATTTATCTGTTATGAAGTTGCCGGCAGCGAGGATTCAAATGTTTACTTCTATGATTTGACACGGCCCAAGCATGCCTGTGTAAATAAGTTGCAGGTTTGTTTTACTGAATATTTTTCCTACTGATTTATACTTTTCATGCCCACTAATACGACATCCAGCTTCCAACTTTTCCCCTGCTTATATGGTGCTTCTCTGATGTGAAACTAAATGCAAGGAGCTACGTAAGAAATTAAAATTGAGTTGGCAAAGAAATTACAATTAATAACTTATGGCGATAGCAAGAAAATCATTAAAATTTCGTAGTTATCAACTAGCTTAGGCGAAGAAGTATGTAGATTAGCCAAAACCTTCAGACAACCAAAAATAGTAGCAACACTAAAAGCTATTACAACAATCCGTCATTTCTGCTTTAAGAAGTAATAAGAAAGCCGTCCCAAACAAAACCTAAATCAGAAATAACAAACATCACATATGGAGTAAATAACCGACATATCCCCTAGACTGTTTAAGTGCTCTCATTTTAGTCTTAAACGTTCCTCAGTGTCCAATGTAGTCCCTCAATTTATCAAAGCCTAATATTTTTGGTCCTTCCGAATCTCACTAGCCTGGAATTGATAGAAGCTAGTCGCGAGAAGCAAAAACTGGGGGTATTACTGGTTTTCTCTGCTATGCCCGAGGGGATCACAATTCTCTTGTTACTTAAATTGGTTCGTTAAAGAAGTAGAGGATCTCTCATCATGATAGAGAATCTTTACGGTATTTCTCAGCCTAAAAGATCAAAATTTTCCTAAGCCGAAGAATCTCATGACTAGTTTTGTCAATTCTAAATGGTGAGATGACTGAGGCTTCATTTGGGACGGCTGTCTTATTGTTTTTTAAAGCAACTTTTTAGTATAAAAATTAAATTTTTTGTAAAAAAAACTGTTTTTAGAAGCACTAAGAAAGCCGACCCAAACGAAGCCTGAAAGACCAAATATAATAAAATTTCTTAAATTGTTGAACTAAATTCAACGCTAAAAAAAGAAAAAATTAGGATTAAAATGGCTACACGTAAATTGTCCATGGACCATATGACATGATTTTCTGCGGCTGGGTGTAAAAGATGCGAGCTTGAGAAGCATTATTTCTCTTACCTACTCTCCATGATCGAATTTCTTACCACAATATATTAAAACTTTTCTGTAGGGTCATGGATCTCCTGTGATAGGTGTTGCCTGGAATCATGGTGAGAATTTGCTAGCTTCATCTGATTCAGAAGGCACTGTAATTGTCTGGAAACGAGCAAAGACCAGATAAAACCTGGTAACACTGTCAGAAAATTAGACATTATGGTTTCGTTTGGGACAGTTTTTTTACTGCTTCTTAAAGCAGCTTATTAGTATGCAAATTTTAATTTTGGTAATACAAAGTTGCTTTAAGAAGCAGTAAGAAAGCCGTCCCAAATGAAGCCTATAACATACTGGCTTTTGCAAGTTTTGAGCTGATGTTTAGATAGGTTTACAATGCTAAAACCTTTCCAGATATGGCAGTTTCAGAATATTGTTCACATTCAGATTCAACTGAAGAGCATATAGAGCAAGAATATTTCCTAATATTTATTAATATGGGCAGCACCAAATTGTTGAGAATTCTAGGAGGCTTAAAGCAACCCAACATCTTGTTTACAGCAATATGATCTGAAATATGTTTGATATTATGCTGCTGCAGTCTTTTCATACCAGATGTAGATAACATTTCTGTTAATCTGATCAGATACAAATATGCATATGGTTTACATTTTTCCTTGCTAAATTCATAGTAAAATCAAAATATGAGGTATGTGCATCTCTTTTGCTTATGTTATATCATCTTTTAACTATTCATATGTGATCAATTTAGGCGAGCATATTAAATATATAAACGAAAAAATAAATTCAATTGAATATCCACGTGCCTACTTCACGTGTCGACATTTTATTGGAGTCCGAACGTACCTCCATATCCGTTGTCCGCACCAAATAATTTTTCCTATCATAGGCCATAAAGTGCGATTTCCAAATTATTTTTTATATTATATATTTAGTCCCAATATATTTTTTTGTTTAAAAAAACCCACAGTTTATTTAATTTTTTTCTCCTGTCGTTTACATTGAATACCATTGGCCGTTTGAATACAAATGGCCGTCAACAGTATAATTTCCCATTGTTCTGCTTCAAATCTTCGTCCCCAAGGCAGGGGCTGTCAGCAGCAGGTAGGATTTTGACATTTTGTAAATTAAGTAAATTCGGATTTAATGAATTTTATTTGGGTTAAAATTTGAAAATTATTTGATATTTTTATGTGTTAAATTCAATTAAAATTTAATATTTTTTTTGATTAATTAGTTTATATTTTAAATTTAAATATTTATAAAAAGATAAGTTTTTAAAAGAAAATCATTTAATCATTAATTAGACAAAATCAAAATCAAAATAAAAAAATTTATGAGTAATGACAGACGTTAGCATGGATAATGACTGGCCTTCACCACTATATATTTTTATTAAATTGGTACCAGCTTTTATATATATATATATATAAAGTATATAAATTTGCAATAATCTAATTTATTAATTTTACTAAAATATACTTTTCTAATTTAATTTATTAATTTTACTAAATTATAATATACTAATTTAATTTATTAGTTTAATTTGTTATTTTAACTAAAAAATAATTAACTAATTTAATTTATTAAATTTACTAAAATATAATTTATTAATTTAATAGATTAATCTAAGTTGTTAATTATACTAAAATATAATTTACTAATTTAATTTATTTTTCTTTTTGAATGAGACCGTCATTTGGAAAGCGCCGGCGGCAGCCGTTTGGAAAGAAAACATTTCTCTTCTTCTCAGCCGGCCCCGGTTTCTCGACAGCTAAAGTTAACGGCTTTTTAATGTTTTCTTTTCGCCTATTAATTCCTTTTAAAAATTTTTCTGTAATGAGCTTAGAGGCGTCTAGGGTTTGCTTTTTTATCTTCTTTTTTGCATCGTTGTTGTAGAGATTGCAGGAGTCGTCGGCTTCTTCGTTGCTGTTCGACTTCGCTGCTTGGACGACGGTTCCGGTCCGGTCGGATCGGAAGTTACGACGTTTTGATCGGAAGCAACGACGGGAGCTCGCTCGCTGTGAAGGTAACATTCTCCATTTCGTGCGCTTCTTCGGCCAAATCCCGCAAATACGCAGAACTACAGGATTTAGTAAATCCGGGATTTCGGCAAGAAGAGGGAAATGGAGGATTTATTCCGCCGTGAGATTTAGCGCACAAATCCCATTTGGCAGGATTTAGCAGCTCGAATCCTACATAAATCCTGTTGGGGGCTGCTTGGCAACAAGTGGGATTTAATTTTAGCGAAAATCTTGTAAATTGTAATTTAGTAAAACCTGAGAGTGTTAAATGCTTAAAACTGTTTGGTACGAGAAATGTGAAGAAGTTGATTATAAATTAAATTTTAAATTTATAATTAAAAATTAAAATTAATATATTATGAAATTTAATAACATTTTAACTATAAGTTAATTATTAATTATTAATTTTAATTGTCTTTAAAAAATTATAATGATAAATAATTTAATTAGAAATT